GGTACAAGATAAGGTGAGTAGCAGAACAGCAATCTCAAATTCTCTTTCTGCAGCCCACAGGGAACAATTTTCATGATCAATGTTTCATTAAATTTTAATAAGTTGTCCATTGCACATTCCATACTTTTACAGTAACAGCATTGAACTTGACCCCACCACCATCACCATAAAGTGCAAACAGTTAATTGATTTTAAGGTCACAGGGGGTCTGGTCTAGTTCCTCTCCAGGAAAGGGAATAAAACTCAACCTTCCAACCAACAAACATTCATTCTCAACTATCTAGTGGTGAAGTATAAAAGTACTTTGTAAAAAGGTCTATATTTTAAATTATACAAGAATAAATAAATTTGACAACATAAGCAAAGTGAAAATAAGTGTTGAATTTTATATACATTTGATGTAATGAATATACATACACCTGGGTTCCCCCTCACAGTAATATGATTGGCTGGTGTCAGCCATAAATACAGACTGATGTGGAGGTACAAGAGGGCACCTATTGTCTACGCCTATTGCTTACCACTATGATGACCAGTCCATTATGGTTACCTGATAGATTATCCTACTCGTTTACCATAGTCCAAAACCACTTTGCTACTTCAAACAAATATATCCCTTTCCGAGACATATCAACATTATATAAGTTTGTTTTTTTTATATAAGGGGAAAAGGAATAAATTTGGCTAATCATATTGGCATGAGGGTGTAGACAGAACAGAAAATGAGGATTTTTTCATAACAGAAAGAGGAATGGTGCTGATCTCATATTGTGGTGGAGTGGGTACAAGAGGTAAAATTAAAATCATGCAAACAACAGAAAATTGTGTGAGAAAGAGATTTGAGAGAAGATTGTAAAATAAATTGGAATTTCAAGGAAAAAAAGATATATTTTAGGTCAATAATTGATACAAAAAAATTGGAAAATCATTGAGGAAAACTGGAAAATGTGGGAATATTTGTACTTGGTGATCAAAGTAAATAGGGTTGTTGAATGTCCCACATTTGAGAAATTACACATTGATTTTTCTTTTTTAATGTTTTACTTCTTAAAAACAAATGAATATGTATAAAAATCTTGCCTACCTGCACCCTCTATCTCTTCCTCCATTTAAATGTTCCTATCATTCAAAATTACCTAGTGATTTAATCCATGGAACCCTCGTTTGAAACCAGTCCTTAAAGGAGTCTCTTGACTCCATGATTAGGAAACAAAACTATAGTGTTTGCAGTGACATCTCTCTCACATGCTGCACTTCGTCCTCAGCACTTTTGTTTGAGTTTGAGACCCATGTAGTAGGATATCCCAGACAAGCTATACCAATTTCTGAGATACGTGGGCTGGCACTATTTTGGTATTTTTCATTTTGGCAAATTCCAGACTCTTAGTTGCTGCCTTTAATCAGTCCAAGTGGGAACAGAACTGGTCTGAATTCAACATTTGAATTTTACAGAAGGAACTTATAAAACACAATACTTTCCACTCTAAGATGCAGAGTAGCTTTTGAAATAGATAACAGTAGCTCATTTTGTCCAAGATTTTTTCACTCCACATCATTGTAAACAATCCATTTTTCAACATCTGCGAGTGTTCTTTTAAAAAATGAATTGTTTTTGTTGCATTTGAACAGTGAATGGAAATACAGTCCATTGATTTTTTTTTGTTAAATTGTAAAGCACACAAACATTATTGTGATCACACATCCAAGAGTTTTTAAATGCCTTATGATGCACATTCATATCAGATGTGTAGAATATCTCCGCAATATTCCATGTCATGTTACCTGAATTAGAATTTTGATTTGATCACCATCAAAGAATGCAGGCCTGCTAGAACTGTTCTTAGTTTTCCTGATCAAAATTTCCACTTCTGAACTGAGCAAACCACTTACAAATGGTACTCTCAGCTATGGTACCTTCTCAATAAAGAGTGCATACTTTTTTGCTGTTTGTATAATGTTTTTCTTTCCTTCACAGAAATAAAAGAACATCAAATGACAGAAATGGATCTTATGTTCCTTTATTTTCACTTTTAACCTAAAACCATTTACAATTCATAATCCACATACAAATTATAGGAAAGAAATATAAATTTCAGTCATATGAAATTATCAGTATAAATGATACCAACTGAAAAAGGCTTCAAACTTTTGTTTCAATTCTTCATCTTTCACTGCTATATAAGAGGACTGATATCATGTAACAGTTCAGTATTCTTTGTTTTAACAATTTTTTTACATTTCTTAATACTCTGCTTAACTTTTAGAATACATCTTTAGCTATCCCAATGTATCTTCGGATTTCAGTGTCACACTTTCTGTCCTCTATTAGAGCACTTATCAGAATTTAAATTTTTGTACATATTTGATTTTGGTATCTCTGATTTGTACTTTGCATTTTGGGATCATCCTTTTGCTAACAATCATCTATTCTATCTTCTTGCAGTTTATATTTAGTCCTTTCTTCTCACTTTCCTTTACTATCTTTTGTAGAAGTTTTTAAGTCTTAAATTATTCACAAAGACACAATGTGTTTCTTTATCATTTCTTTGAGTTTCTTCCAAATTATTTGTTGATTCTGTTTAAAAAGGGGCTTTCCTTGTTTGTATATCTCTTTGAAATATACTTTGTCCATTTCATTTTATGAGTTATATTTCTTGTTTCTAGTTTCAATATGTTAATTCTGCATTGATTCATCAATAAAGAATTGATCAGTCAGTATGAAGCATAGACTTTTTTTCATTGAGACCAGCATGAATGAAAAAGACTCAATAAATCACAGTGACCAACCAGTCCAAGGCTTATCTATAAAGGGACATTTGTCTCTTCTTAATTTTATTTCATTTAGAATATATGGCCAATCAGTTATTGACAAATTATCTAAGATGGATATACTCTGACAAAGTTTGTTGGTAGGTTGTTGAATATTAATGCAGCAATTTTGTCTTTGATGTAATTCTGGAGAATAAAGGAAGTAATTATGAAAATATTTCATATCAAAACAAGAATAAAATTATGTTATCAACAAGACATCATGGAATAAAGTTAGAAGAATGAAACACAAGGTATAAATAGGTTAGGGATAAAAACAAGTTATAGACTCGCACCATCTTGGGATCTATATCCATCATATTCTTCTGATCTCTTACCCACTGAATACCACATTTTCAAGCAGCTTGAAGAATTTTTAAGCCAAAAGACATTCCATTGCAAAGAAGATGCCAAAACTGTATTCAAAGATTTTTTTTTTATATCTAAATCTTTAAAGTTTTATCATAAAAGTATAACTTGTAACTCGATGGCAGAAATGTACAGATGTTCAAGGGTCCTTATTTTGATTGATTTAAACTTAGTTTAAATACGTTAATTCAGGAATAAGAAGTTGAATCCAAAATTGTACAATATTTTTCAAACAACCTAACAATTATTTAATTTTGTCTCCTAATAAAGAAACCTCACATGTCTCAAGTACTATCACTACATGAGCTCTCTCACTAAATATCTCCTTTCAACAAAGGGTAGTAATTACAACAACGAACTTGCCATAAAATTTCTAACAGGAGAATGTATAAAATATCACCACTTATTCCTAAAATTTAGCAAAAACTAAGTAAAATCAATAGATTTAAGTAGGCAAATAACATATTTCTTTGCTGTTTTAATTTTATTTATAAACTAGTTTACCATTGCTGTTAAAAATGATGGTGTTTAATAATTTTGCAGTAGAAATGGACTAATATCCAAATATCAGTGTAGTACTAGATTGGCAGTTATGTTTCATCCTTTTACAATTGAAATGACTAGATGTAATTGTAAGTTCTATGCTTTTCTCACACTTCTCACTTGTGGAACTCTCTTCTGGTTTCTTGCTTTCTAGTCAACTTTGATCTTCAAAAATTTAAATGCAATGTCAATCTTTATCTTCTGTCCTGTTAATTCCTGTTCTTTTATTGTTCTCTCTGCTCTTAAGAATATTTCGTTTTTTCTCATATTCTCTGATACTCAGTAACCTTTTACATCTTAGTGGTTTCATTGCCTTGCTTGAAGTGAAATGATTAAAAAGAAAATGACATTTTCTTGTTTATGTCCAATATCTTCATGTTATTAAACAAAAATCTACCTGTTGCATGGCAGATGACATTGTGTATTGCTGATCATTATGAGTCTTGCTCAAATTCAGCTAGGTATAAAAAAAAAAAAAAAAAGTGGGTACTTAATACAGTAGAATTCATAAATGTCTGGTAGAGAGTGATATGTGTTAGTAAAGTTCAAGCATTGTCAAATTTTGTTGTGTTATTTTTTTTTTTATTTTTTTTTTTGAGGTTGGGATAGTTTAAAGATCAATGTAGTAGCAGAAGCACCTGTTGTTGGATGGAAGGAGTTACCAACTGAATCTTACTTGGAGTAAACTTTCAGAAGTTGGTACAGTCTATGTAGAATTATAATCGAAGTTAACATCATATTATAGAGGGAAACTTGATCCAGTTTGTTTCAAACAAACATGTTTAAAATTCTCTGTTACACATTTGTGTATGTTCATGGGTCATGTACCTCACAATCCAGCATCCTCTTTTATCAAATCACTGGTGAAAAGTTAATTGTTCTGCTAACTTCACTTCTCCTGACTACTCATGCTAAGCTGAGTCGTGATGAATAGTGATTAAACCACCAATACCGTCCCTTATATTCGTGCCATCCAGTTCACTAAGCTACTTTTTATAATTGCTTCAGGTTTAAAATTCCACCAAAAAATGTTTCAGTGACTGATTCATTTTCTATGGTTTATCAATCCTTTGAATGTTATTTAAAGCCAGAAAATATTAATAGATTTTAAGAATTTTTTGAGATAATAATGATTTTGGAATACAAGTCTTGCTAATTAATCTATAGTTGTGGGAAGATGAGGAGGATGCATACCTTTCCCAAAGGTATTTGCACGTAAGGAAATATTTGTCTCCGATTAATTCCAAGCCATTATTCATTAGACAGCCCATACATCCAAGCTTACAGTACCTGGTATTTCCAAGCAGTTACCCATCTAGGTACTGACTAGGCTCAACATAGCTTAACTTGGGTGATCACATGGGAATCATTGTTTCAACATGATATCACTGTAAGCCTTATCAAAAATGTTCCATCTAAACATTGCATTGATTGGAAATATCTTTGATCTATGTGGTGGATAGGGACAGAGATCATTTCTTTTCCACACAAATTTTTACAATGCTATAAAAATTATGATCAGTTAGAATTCTTAAATGTTGATATTTAATTGGCTAATTAAAATATATCCAAAATAATCAATATTTTGTCTTGCTAATTTACAACCTTTCAATAAAATAATTATTAATAAAAATGATAATATCAAATTTGTATTAGAACTAAAATGTTGAAACTGCGTAAAAATTAATATAGAAACTATTTTTAATAAAAAACATATTAAATTGTATTAAAAACTAATTAAGCAAATTAGAAATTTACTAAACATTTCTTTGAAAAGGAAACTGCTTCCATGAGAGCATCTCTTTCTGCTTGCTTGGTCTCACACTGTCTGCTGACCCGAGATGGAAAAATTACATTGAATTAATAGCTTCATCTACTGTAAAGAAAGATGGTTCTCTATGTTGCGCCAGATAGTTTTTCTTGTCTGAGTCCATCCTTCAAATCTATAAATCAACCATTCACCCTTTCATGGAATATTGCTGTTATATATGGTCTGGATTCCCCGCTGTTCATCTTAAGGTCCTTGACAAAATCCAGAGACAGATATACAATGGGGTTGGCCCTGATCTGGCATCTCATTTACAGTCACTCTCTCACAGACATGCCATCACCTCCTTCTGTCTTTTCTACAAATACTTTCACAGTAACTGCTCCAATGAGCTATTTTCGCTAGTTCCTAAACTACATGAATTTAAACATGCTACAAGGTCAGCATCTCAGTCCCACCCTTTCACTGTTGAAATGATTAAATATAGCCATCTCTTCTACTCCAATAGCTTCATGTCTCACAATTTCCATCTGTGAAACTCCCTTCCTCTTACTTGCTTCCCGGATAGCTACAATCTCCAACTATTCAAATGCAATGTCAATCAACATCTCCAGATGCCTTGATCTATTTCCCATCCTTCTCTTGATCCTTTCCTCTTTCATGCCTCTTAACTCTTGCTCCCAATCTCTGTAACCCCTTGTGTGCTAGTGGCACTCTTTCCTTGTTTAAAAAAAAAAAAAAGATTATAAATTGACTGCAGAATGATGTGTAAAGATTTGAAAAAAAAAAAAAAAAAAAAAGACTCCAAATTAACATAATAAAAAAAATGCAAAATGAGATCAGAATGTTTAAACTTTCTGTGATAAAAATTTACAGGATGGTCCCAGCTCCGAGGTTTTCAGAAAGCGGCCAAATTTGAAATGAAAACATGCGCAGGATGGTGACATTGTTTTTATTATTATTATTATTATTAATGGGGATAAAATGTACAGGCCCCTAAGGAATTACTGTATGCCTTGATTTGGAGCCACATGTTTGCTATAAAAGAGGGAAAATTTGACTGCAAAAGGAAAAAAAGGATCGGAAAGTAAGGGTTTGACTCTCACGGCATGAAAAGTCTGTTGCAGTTGAGCAAAGAAATAGATCACATGGTGACCTGGGATGATGAAAAAATTAATTCTGTTACTAATGAAGAAGATAGAAGAAGAAGAATCTTCTAAGATCTCATAATACAAATAATTTTCATAGATTTGCGAGAGTTTATCTCAAATTTGAGGATGCCTTTTCCAAAATTCTCAACAATCATCAAAAGGACACTGAAAAGCAATTTCAACAAGGTAGGTCAAACTTTCCTCACCCCCTCTTTGAACTTTGACTTTCATCTTTGAATTTTACATTACAACCTGTGAACCAGCAGAATTATTAAATGTGAACTTTTTGAAGTCACTAAATATTTTTTGTTGCGAGGAAACTGATTTATATGAACTGTTACACTAAAAGAATGTTGTTAAAACCACTTTATTGTTAATTAAAACATTTGCTTTCTATGTTTCCTTAGAAGACTGATTTTTATTTGTTAATCTGCTTGGATAATTTGAGGTGCACAAGATAAATTTTGTATAAGGTTTAAATTGTAATTTATACAATTTGTATATTGTGAAATATATTTTTGTCTTTGTAATAAATGTTTGTTTCTTTGCTAATTTCACTCAGCATAAGAGTCTTCTGTTTTATTTATTTATTTTTTTTTTGTATTTGCACCATTAAAAATACTGAGATCTGACGTTCTCCCCCCACCCCTGAAAATCCTTTTACCTCCGATGATCAAATGGAAATGTTTGGAGAAATTTGTTTTTTGTAGACTGAGTTGTTTACCAGTCTTTTTTACAAAAACTGGAACAGCTGATTAAAAGCTCAAGTTGAAAGACAAGTGCATTTTATTGATTGACATTTCATTTGACATACAAAATACACACATACATATCTAAACGAAATCCATCCATGCAAGAATCAGGCCTGTCGCCAAGCAGGATCTTGGGCACCTGCCCTAAGTGAAAAATCAAAAGTGCAAATGATGTCAACTAATTTGACCATAGAAATTCTTACTCACAGCCCACTGAGTTAAAGGGTCTCTCACCTTTACTTAAAATTCACGAGAGACATGTCTCGTAGTTTGATGCCAAACATACATGCTTACTACAAAAACATATAATATATGCTTATGGCCATATCATGCTGAAACACTAGTTCTTGTTCGATCACCAAAGTTAAGCAATGTTGAGCCTGGTCAGTACCTAGATGGGTGATGCTGTAAATTTGGATGTGCAAGTGGTGTAATGGATAATGGCTCAGAATAAGAAATCAGAGATGCAAGCTCCAATTCTAATCAGGTTTTTATTATATCCACACCTACGTGGAATACCCTTGGGAAAGGTATGAATCTACCTCCATTTAGCTATGGATTAAATGTAGGGCTTGTAACAGAAAATCATTATTATCTAAAAAAAAAGTTCTTACTATCCAAAACTATTTTCTGGCTTCAAATAACCTGCAAAAGGTTGACAAGCCATAAAAAAAGCAAATCCATCATAAACCCATATCCATATGTCACTATTACAAATACATACACTTATTCTTCAAAAATCAAAGCACATTGTAGCGAACCATTCATCTTATTCCTTTCACATTCCACTGGTGAGAAGTTTCACTCAAGTCGCTTCTTCCCATGAACAGTTGCTTTGTGGAACCAATTCCCAAGAGGAGGATTCCTCGATCACTACAATCTTCTTAACCTGTTCAAGTCTAGAGTTAATAATGGTTATCTTCATCACATAGATATCTATCAACATGACCACACACAACCTGATGTGACACAAGGTTGTGGTTTATTTATTTTCACCACATAAATGCATAAACTATATGCCGCTTACTCTGTAGCCTATACTTTGTGGCTATCAGACCTTGTACAGGGTGAACAACATCATTGTAAAATAAAAATGTCATATATTAAAAAAATGCAGATACATGCTACACATCAGTGTAGTTTTTTGTGGTTTGTATTCGATGAAAATTCATACCAGAAATGGCTGTTGATCTTTTGTTAATTTTTTTTTTTTGCTTCTTTCTTTCTCTCTATTTAATCTTTTCTCTTTCTTTCTTTTGATTTATCTTCTCTTTACTGTCGTCATTTCCGGTGTCAATGGCACAGCAAAACCTGCCAGTGTGTAGTCGATACAATTTGCAACAAAAGTATTAGAATACTTTTCAACCCTTCAAAAAGAAAGAACATTTTTCAAAGTCAAGGGAACAAACTTTACATTAAAAAAAAAAAAAAAAAAAAAACTTCATAAACAAAAAAAGAAAAAAAAAAGGTGGAATGAATTTGTGGTGGGGGTGTATTTTGAGTTTTTATTCTACGAAGTCGCGTGATGAATATCTAGCAGAGAATAGAACAGCTGTATTTTTTTTGTAGCTGTAAAACGTGTTGATTAATTTGAGACTTCAAGAGCAAATAAACATAAACAAATTAATTTTAATTGCTTGAAACTTGACAAAGGATAGCCAATATCAACATCTCTGAGTCCCTGACAGAGATTTAGATAGAAACAGGAAACTGAAAAGTAGATAAGTGACCTCTATACTTGTTCTCTGTCTGTGAAGGTCCTCTGTTTGACATACTGTACTTTCTTGTGCATAAATACGAGATATAATGAACAAAAATTAATGGATAAAAAGGTGGGGGTCATATTATTAATGCACAAGTATATACATCTTCAGAAATTTTTACTCAGCTTATTTGAACGAACATGACTGCAAATATACTCATCAGCACAATTGATAATAAAACACAAAGTAGGCAGGTGTTGTTTACATTGAAAACTGAAAAGTTTTTAATATGTTGGTAATATCTGTACTTTGTGAATCAACATCATTGAATGTCTTCTTTTGTTTCAGTTTTTCTCACCTTGTTTATTTATGAAGTTTTTTTCTGCATTCTTCTTAATGAAAGAATTTTTTTTTTATATAGTTTATTTAATTTACATATCTTATTTTTTTTAATTAACTTCACCCTATGCATGGCAGTAAAGACGCTAAAACACAAGAAGGGGCTACACAGGATGTGAAAAAATTAGAAAACAGAAATATCACTAATAAGTGAGAACAAAAAAGAGTAATTAGGAAGACAGTAGATAATGATTGACATTGCATTTATTTTTGAAGATCAAAGTTGGCTGAAAAGCATAGGGCCAAAAGAGAATTCAACAAGTGAGAAAATAAACTGTTTAGCATAGAATTTACGGCTACATCTAGCCTGGTTGGCAATTATGGCTTTCAACAATTTCCTGTTCTTTTGCAGCTCTTAATAATTTTTATCTTTTCATTATTTCTCCTAAAACTTATTCCACCATCCATTTACTCAAATTCATTCTTCTTCTATGTGATGTGTCCCTTCAGGATGTTGACAATCATGGCTCTCCAAAACTTCCTATCCTTTGTAGCTCTTAATAATTTTTGTCTTTTTGTTATTTCTTCTTCTGCCATCCATTTACTCAAGCTCACTAAGTAGATTTGCATTGTTTTCCTTTGTTCCTCCTGCCTTCAATCTCTCCTATGAGTATCAGA